AATGTTAACCTTACAAGTGCAGCATCTATTTCTAACACGGTTACCTCCTGCAATTTATCTGGGCAGAATTTTCAAAGGCAGTACTCTACACATGGAGATGTTCTGCATGCATCCTGTGCCCTTAATAAATTAAAAAACAGATAAAAAAAATGTCAGCCTTTAAATCCTGTTTTGAAGGCAGATCACATTATCTCATCAGCTGGAGACTACACCAATGGCTGTGACTTCACCACTTTATAAAACACTCTGTGAACCTCGGATGAGGTGCACGTTACACACAAAAAATTGTGTGTGCAGGAAATATCCATTGTATATCTACAAAATGGGCCATATCCCACAGCCATTAAAATTGATGGGAGTTTTGCCATTGCCTTCAATGGGATCAGCAGCAGTATATAAAGATGGATTGGCTCTGAGCGTGCACACTGGCACTTTATGGGCGTGACAATATAAAAGCCCTGTTGAAGTAATGGAATGAATTATAACAGTGCTGGGGATGTCAATTTGCCTTCTTCTACCTTCACTTGCTGTACAAGGAACATTAAACATTTCCCTGGTTAGCCACAGAATCATAAAAATTACAGATAAAAAAGTACTATTAAGTCTACTTCCTGCCAACACAAAATTACTCCTCCTTGTACCTTTTCTAATCCTCTCTGCAGTCCTGTTTTTCAGCACTCAAATGTTCTGGCATGTTCTCCCTGTAAAGAACTACTCCTACTTATCAGCTACTTAATCACACATTCAGACAAGATAGATTTTTCCTAGAGTAAATCAACAAAGCAAAATACCCTCCTAAGTTTTTTTTTTTTTAATATATTGCTCTGAATTTTTTCTTAGCATTTTATTCCACTTTGAGACAATTAGAAAATACATTTTGAAAAATTTATCAGTGACATTTTTCCCTGCTTTTCATGGCCCACCACATCCAAATACAGGCAGGAGGAGCTGCTCATTTGTTAGTGGTGGGATGGTTCTCAACAAGGCTGAAATAATTTAAAAAAAAAGGAAGCCATCTTTCTGCTTTTACTCTCGTTTGCTCCTCTCCCACCTTCTCCCTGCTGCCTCATCACACTTCTGGGTTTTACTCTGTTTTGCTTAGGGCAGAGAATACCCAGTCTCCTCTATTTTTTAGAACAGGATGTTCAATAAGGACCTGGTACATTAAAGAGGAAAAAGTTGATCTAAAAGATGTGCTGGGTTTTGAGTCACCCTCAGATCAAGGGACTTTGAGAAGTTTAAGGTGTTACAACGCCTATTCTGAGACAGAAGTTTTGCCAAATGGCATCAAAAGGTGGTTTGAAACCCGTTCTCAGATTCCCACTGACGATATGTGACCCTAAAGATCTCCCCAGCAGCAAAGGGAGTGACTGGAGACAGGGAAGAATCAGCAGGAATCGTGGCAGGGCCCAGCCCCAACACAGATGCTGCTGTACAAGAATTGCCCCAGAGCAGCACAGGGGACTGACACAGCAACATCAACCCAAACCTCTTGTGGATGGCTGCAAGATCTGCTCTGACACTGCCTGCAAACAAGCCCCTTTTCTATTTTGACTGCTTTATTTGATTGGCCTGGTCGGAAGTGAGGTCAGGTCAAATGCTTAAAGATGAAAGCCATATGTCAGGGAAGTATCATTTTGGAAAGAACAAGGTGAGAATGTCACTGATGAATGAAGTGCTGGCTCTATTCAAATTTGGATTGTTGTGCTGCCTTCTAGTGCCTTCATCATCTTTAAAAAAAACCCAGTTCTGCAGCAACATTTGCAGCACCTCTCACTACAGGATTATTACCTGTGGGTTTAGGGCAGCAGATCCATTTCTTTTTCCTCTGAGCCCAGGAAGAGTCACCACAACACCACGGTAACCATTGCAAAGGGCCATTTCTCTCTGAGATGATGTGAAGAACCACCTTGGACACAGTTGCAGGGAGCAGAAATTCCTCACTGGAGTACAAAACCTGACCTGGTTCATGTTCCATCTCTTCCTCTTGGGAGCAGCTGTGACATTTTGACCCAGGCATTTTGTTTCGGTAGCACACAAAGTATTTTTAAAATGGAGCTGTGGAAGCTGCATGATGCTTGTCCCTGCTATAAACTATGTACAACTACAAAGAAAATAAAAACTTGCAAGGCCGTTTGACCTTGACCTCAAGTAATAGGATGCAAACAGGAAGATCAGCCAAGGAAAACATTTTCTGACAAACTATTGCTGTATTGTGTCTGACAAAAACCAGTTGTTAGTCAGGAATCAAGTGGTGGGGTGACACTTAAAAGCTGTGACCAGTGACTGTGTGTGCCCTCTGTACTCTGACCGAGGTTTGGCAAACAGAGAACTCCAAATTTCACTTTTCCCTGGAAGTTGAGACTACCAGCATGTGCTGTTCCAGTTTCTCCTGGAACAAAGAATCTCATTTATAGCCAAAACTGCATAAAGTTACATCAGCTTACAAGTAAGCCATATTCTACTACAGCCAGGACTGATTCTCAAATTTTCCTCCCACTCACCAAATCAATTTTTCTGATAGGAACACCTATCAACACAGCCATTTGTTTGGCAAGAAACAGGTAGCTATAGCTAAGTTAAAGACCTGCAAATTTAAAGCAATCCCACTGCAGTTTTCATAATGTCCTGATGTCCTCAATTCTCCTTCTAAGACAGTCAAATGAAGGGAGGGGATCCTTCCAGCCCAGTACAGGCACCTGGGGCTCTCCCACCATTCTCTCCTCTCTCCACTCAGACCTTTTCCTGAGAGGCTGCAGCACTGCTGCTCTTCCACACAGTCTCTTCTCCAGTATTACACATTTTCACTCACTGCTGTAGTCCTGATCTTTTCATTTTTCCCCTCCTTCAAAGTGCTTCACCTTCTCTTTGCACACCTTACTGAGAAAGCCAAGAGCTCATTAGTCCCCTAGTCAGCTGCATTAGTCCACAGACATTGTGTAATCTGGTTTTCCACTCCACTCCACAGTGGAGAATGCTTTTGACAAGCCATAATTGAACTGTGTCAGATGCCACTGAATAAAGGATAAGATTTGATAAATACTGAAATTGCCTTTAGATAAGGCTTTCTAATTTCTTATTGTGCCAAACCCCCTGAAACAGGGAAGTGACTTTTTGGATGTTGGAAAAGACAATGTCAGAAAAGCACGAGAGCAGCTGATCTCCAGAGCTCTCTGTTGCCTTTGAGGTGCTGGCACTGGTGTGTGCTATGCATACAGCTGTGGGCACTTTCACTAGAGATCATAAAGACTTCTCTGGGACTCCACAATCCAACAAAAATGGTCAATTTCTCACCCTCATCTTGTTTGGAGCTGTAATCTTTTCTGCAATAAAAAGGCTGACTTGTTTTCCACCCCATCTCCATCAGCATTGCTCAGGAAAGAGGAGGAAGGATATGGTAAGGAATTAAATTACATGGTACAAAAAAAAAAAAAAGTGTAAAAAGGAAAAATGTTGCAGCCTTGTAATGAAGGAGAGCAGAAGTCAGAAGTATCCAAGAGATACTTGAATGGACAACAAGCAGAAGTGCCTTTGAGTGGACACTGCTTGCCAACATGTGCTAATTTTGCCCCTCACCTCTACAGCCTGCCTCCATCCTTTCTGCTTTTCCCTCCTCACTCCACATGTGCTCACCAGATCCCTGTCACCAGCCAGAACTGATTAGAACAGAAGAAAAAAAACAACTCCACAGCACTCTGAAACAGAGTACAAACCAAAAGTCACCAAGTGCAAACAAAGATAAATATCACTTATTAAGCCTTGTTTTTAAGCCTCTGTTGTTGGTGCTTTTTTAGACTACTTGGAAAGGGACTCCAGGAGATCAGCAGAGGGTTATGCAGAACTCAGTGCAGCTTTCAGACACACCAGGAGGCCTTGCTGCAGGGTTAGGTCTAAAGCAGCTCAGAGATTTGCCCATCTGCTGAGACTGAGGCAAGTTCAGCTTTCAAGGTTCTCTTTGCTCCTCCTGTGATTACCCAGCCCATGTCCTCCTCAACCACCCAATTCAAGCACGTATTTTAATTCCATCCCTGAGCAAGTTCCATTCTTGCCTTTCCATTTCAATTTCCACAGGGCAAATGAAACTGATGGGAAACATTTTGCCAAAGGTATGGTTATTTCACCCAGCAGCCTGACGTGACTCCAAATCTGGATATTATATTTAATGTTCCTGGGACAGATGCTGTCAGACTTTTCCACAGCATCATCTGCACATTCAAATTGCATGAACTTTACAGCCTCTCAAGTTTTCAGAGACATTGCTGATAATTTAACACCACAGGGCCACCTCAAACATTTTTCATCCCAAAGCAGGGGAATGGATAACTGTGAAACTCCCACAGCAAAGGGTGAGGTTTCAGAACCTCTGATGCATTTGTTTGCCTCAGCAGAAGGTACAGCAGTGTTCTGAGGGCCAACTGTGTAATACACACATAAAATATACTAAATGTTTTCAAACTGAAAGAAGGCAGATTTGGATTTGATAGTAAAAGGAAATTCTTTCCAGTGAGGGCAGTGAGGCACTGGAACAGGCTTGCCCAGAGAAGGTGTGGATGCCCCATCCCTGGAAGTCTTTAACTTAAGGTTGGATGGGACTTTACAACCTTGTCTAGTGGAAGGTGTCCCTATCCACAGCAAGGAAGTTGGGACTTGATAATCTTTAAGGTCCCTTCCAACCCAAACCATTCTGTGATATTGTGAAATTAATGGACAATGTCACCCAACTCCATTTCCACATGAGCAATTCATTTACCTCTGCTCTTTAAAACAACGGTTTTAAAAATAGTGATTATCACCTTCCATGTGGGAAAGAACCCTTGGGGATGAAAGGGTTCCACTCTGCTTCAAGACAAGCACAGGCTGGAATATATACACCCTAACTCTTTCAGTTCATATTTTTGCAAGCTCAAAATAGAATATTAATAAATTACAAAAAAAAAAACCCCAAACAACCTGGTGTTGATCTAACTGCTGACCTTTGCATCTGTAAACAAAAGACACCTTTTTTTTTAAGTAAACAACTTAGCAAACATGAAACCTGCTCTGCCAGTGCTTGAAGATGACACTGTACATACAAATCAGTTCTTGCAGAAACACAGATTTTTAGATGTCTTTAGAGAAAATGCAGGATTTCCGTGACTTCAGACCACTGAAAACCATTTATTTAAAAATATACTGCATTAGAACCAAGTAAGTAAATTAAAAAAACCAAAACCAGTGTAAACCTCTACCACATTACAATCCAAATCCCTTTAAAAGCACCATCCTGAAAACAATACAAAGCTCCCTTTGCTTCCTAAGGACTTCTCAGAGGTCCACAAGCCCACGCTGGAAGGCACATTCAGTTTTTTCAGTTAAAATAAGTTAAATTTCTTGCTTCCTTTTGATCAGGAAACTTCAACACCCTAAATTCAGTTGCCTCCAATGTGTTCATAAACACATACTGTACTTAAAATTAATTTATCAAGGACTGCTTATAAACAGGCATCAGGTGGAGGACACTTTCTTCAGTTTAGCCACGTACATGGGCCCCCACGGTCTCCCCTTCTCTGGGAGAACCAGCAGCTCGTGCTGCTGCATTCCACTGAGCAAAGTGAACTCCTGGGAAACACCTCTGGCCAGACCACTTATATCCACGGGCATCACGTTGCTGCAGGAGTTCAGGGTGAGACTGATCACATCACTGTTTTCTGCCTTGGAGAGGGTGCACGTGGAATAGACCAAGGACCCACCGGGACGCAGGGCTTTAAGAGCAGACCTGCAAAGAACAGGAAAAAGGGGAAAAAAAAAATCAACATTAAAACTGACATTCTGCTAGTGGGAGAATGTGTAGACTTATAAATCTAGAGAATAAATAAATATGACAAAAATAACATTATGAAAATGTCTTAACTGTATCTAATTGACAGTTCAGGAAACCACCGACACAATACAATTTTGCTTTTCATTTATGATTGTAGTCTCACTTAGCTGAAGGTATTTTTTACACCACAGTGACAAGTACAAAGCAGCATCCCTTCAGAACCTACATGAAGCATTCCTGTGCTCAGCACTGCTGTGGAAATGCTGCAACTGCATACAAAATGGGTCACCCCACATCAAATGGGCCAGTTAGACACTTGGCAAGATGCTTGTGTGAATCTGCAGCAGCAGCCTGAATTAATGACTGGGCCATAATTTCAGAAACATTCCTGCTAATTCTGCAAATTATTTAGCAGAAAGAGGATTTGAGGGTGTCACTGAGCCACTGCTTTTCAACCTCATTTTTTAAGGATCATATATTGTTTGTTTATGTGCCCTTCACTTATTAACCTGTTGACAAATTTTGACTAAACAAAGGCAAAATAGTGGCTTAAAGCCTGAAAGCTTCACAACTACTGGTGGATGGAGGGAATGGAGGTTCTTTACCACTTTACCCCTGAAACTTTATTTAAATAAACTGCTTATATCCCATTACAGATCTGCCAGACACATGAAATACAACCTATGAGTATAGAAATGAGATATGCAAGTTATAGTCACCTACTCCAAATTAAGAGAGTAAGGAGAAAACCCAAAAATCTTGCACCACAGAAGGGTATTCTTCAAACCTGGTACCACCACATTTCTCAAAGAGGAAGCTACACAAAAGGTTCACTTGCTATTAAAACACTGTCTGAAGATAAATCCCATTAAAACATATATTTTTGCTCAAAGACTGAATTGTAAGCTGGTATACAAACACATACTACAGGCAAATATCACATTAAATACAATTGTTCCCCCACTAAGATTTATTTAATAACAAGACCATCAGAACAGGTGAATGGTGTAAATGACACTGAATAATCAGAAATTTGTAGATATTATTGACAAAACTGTGCTCACACATCCCCCACACCCCAGGGAAAAAATATCCTGGGACAAATAAAAAGAAACAACCATCTTCTCAAGCCAAATGAGGTGAGCAACCCTCAAATGCAGGAAGTGTGATTCCAAGTCTAGATAAACCAAGACAATGCCATGGAAATAGCAATTCCTTCTGAAACAAGCTGAGGACTTCCCAAGGGTGAGAGCTGACCAAAAACAGTTAAGAAAGGAAAGAAGAAAAGACAAAGAGGGGAAAAGATAAGCCCTTTAAACTGGATTGCAACGTTTTGGGAAAATAATCAGTAAAGAAAAGCTTCAGCCAGGAGGATCAAAGCTGATCACAGATCAAAACTGCTCTCAAAGTCCTGTCCAAAATAATATGGGACCACCAGGACAAATGGCTGCTTCAGACAGTGGTAAGAGCAGGTAAAAACTCCTGAGAATTATACCAAACCTATTTCCCTTGGGAGCATACACATTGCCTTGCTCAGTTCTTCTATATGAGTCCTGGTTATGGTAATCAGCAAGCCAAGTATATATTTTACTGAAGTCTATGATTTTACTCAGTGTAAAAGGACAGAGCTCTCTTAACTGATGGTGCTCTAAGAAAAATATGTGTTTAATGCCTGTGTTGCATCAGTCTTCAGGAAAAAGATGGAGAGTGAGCACAAACAGCCTTAGTGAGAGAGCAATTCAAAGTTCAGCCTGTTAAAGGCAGAACCACATTACAGTACACTTAGGTAGCCTAAGTATGTTCAGTTTAACAGGGCCTCGTGGACTCATTCGAGGATACTCTGAAAAGCAGCTAAACCTATAAATTAGTTAAAACCAGAAGTTTGTCTCTCACTCCTGAATAGCTTTTCAAAGCCTGCAGAAACGTTTGAGAACGCTCCTGCCACAGGCCGGTAGAACCCAACATTCACACTGCCACCTTGAGACAGCCAAAGAGAGCAGGAGGAACCCTGACATCCCTCCCAGCTCTAATCTTCTAAAATTCTGCACTTACCAGCAGCCATGTGAATTGCCAGATATTCATCCTGGCATCCCAACACACATTTATTCCTTAGAGGGCTCCAAAAGCAGCAGTTCTGGACCCAAAAGTTGTCCCCACTTCTCTCCAGCTCCTTTTCTTGCTGGCAGCTGCCCATTTCAATAAAAGGGCAGAGCTCATGCTGCTGCTCTTGGCCTGTCTGAGGAACCACAGTGCACCCACCTATACAGAATTAACTGCTAAATTAAAGCAAAGCAGGGATGTGCAACCTCCCCTTCTCATGAACACCAAACCAACAACAGAGCCTGATGCACTGTCTCTCATGGCCTCACTCCCATTTGGGGAAATTTAAAATCACTTTTTTTCCCCCATGTATTGGATCTTGGTTTTTATCTTTCCCAGTATAAATCAAAGAGAACAGAGCTGAAGTCTAAATGGGCTCTCATAAAGTCGAGCTGATCTTCAGATTATTGTCAGAATCCACCTACATAACTCATTTTTGACACTTTCCCCTGCCAGCTACACCTTTTCCATGCATGCAGGAGTGCCAAGCCCTGAGGGCAGCCAGTAAGCTTAGGAATGTTTTAATGTGACAATTGGGATGTACTTTTAGCAGACCTGAGAATTTTACTCAGAGAAGCAGATAATGGCAACCACTTTCCTACCTCTAAGACAGCATTTACACAAGAGACAAAATTCTTTTACCAGGTAAAGTGGGAAAGGTAAAAGATGGAAGAAGTAGATGTAGCTACAGGTTACAAGGTTAAAAGCTTGGATACTTGCTAAATGTCCCTTTCTTCCCATACAGAAAGTAAGAATCCCTAAAAACAACATTTTCAAGGGCACCATGCTCCTCCAATTGAGTCCATCAGAGGAAAGGGCAGCACAGGAAAACTTGAAAATCTCACCTCAAAACCCCCCCGTGTCCAAACCTCAACTAGTGAACCTTCCCTGGCCCATGACCCAGAAAGGTCAGGCTGCTCAGTGCAGCCCTCTTTATTTGGAACCCAAAGCAGGAATTAAAATACCCGAGGAGAATTACTTCAGGCAGCAAGGTTAATCAATGTATCTATCCATCTTGTCCTTGTTTCGGTGCCTGTGCTCAAAGTCAACGCCCGCCAGCCCCGATTAAGCCGTGCCTGGCTCCTGATAAACCTGCAGGGAGCTGCAAAATTCCAAGTGAGGAAGTGCTGGGCTCAAAGTCACACAGGGTGACACTGAGCTGGGCCAGCAAAGCCAGGGAGTTGGGTCCTCTCCTCACCAGCAGCACAGAGAATTCATTCAGGAGAGGAATTTGTCATCAGAGAATTGTCCAAATACATGGAAGCAACTTCCTCTCCTCACTGGAGGGAAACAAGCTCATCCAAGCTTGACTCAGTCCTACTCTAACTCCACCATCCAGGAATTCAGGTTTCTCTTTCACCACGAATCTTAATTATGGATGCTTTGCTGAAGGAATTCAGCACCTGTTACTTTGTGACTCCAAAAATGGGAAGCCAAACCTGGAATGATTAAGATGCCAAAATATGTTTTTATCTTCCCTTATTACAATGCCCTGTTTAAAAAAAAAACAAACAAAACCACATCATTTATAAGTAATTAATCTGCAGTCCTTTTTCTCTTAATGGCATACATGACATCTCTGTTTATTAAAGAGCTAAAACTTTCAGATGAAATAAACATCTAGTTAATGTCATAATTTTATTTCAGTTACATATATTTCCTGTAATGAATTTTACAGGTTTACAGTCACTATTACTGTAAGGTTTCATGCTTCACATGAAGAAACATCAGAACACACATTAAGAGCCCTGGAAAATTTTTCTGTCCATCTAATTCAACAAGTTCTGTAAAACAAATTACACATGTATATTGCTCCTCTCCTCTTTCTAAATGAGATTTTACAGCATTTATAAAAAAAATGTAAAAAATATTTTGTATTTTTTCAAGGTGTGTCTCTGGTACAGGTTAATTTTGTACTGTGGAGGTCAGAGGTACAGCAGATGCATTAATCTATCCTAACTCCATGTATTACAGGAGCACCAGAAAAGACTTTTAAAATAAATATATTATTTCAAAGCTCTTTCTTTTTTTAGTTTATTTTTCAAGATTTACAAACTTGGGGAAAACAAAACAGCATTATTGTTCAGTACCTCAGAGGAAAAAAAAAATGATCATGGCTAGAGCCACATAACAATTCCAAACCCAAAAAATCTGTTACATGGAACTAAAATATAGTCAGCCAGGACCTAAAAAAGGATTTTTCCCACTTACAGAAAATGAGACATGATAGCAAGAATTTTAGACTGAAAAAAGCTTTTCCCAAACGACCTTTTAAAAATAGGCAGACACAAAAATACGTATTTCATACTACAGGTAGCCCCTGCATGTTCAGCCTGTGCTCGGGTTTATGCTGCATGCCATGAGAAGGGGCAGCATTAATTATGTTCATCATTCGACCATTTTCAGCACTAAAGTGAAAAGATGATACATTTTTAGGGCAATTTTAAACTAACACAACACTTCAACAGTGCCATCTTTTGGTAACTATGACATATTTCTGCTCAATAGGCAAGATAATGTCTCATCAGAATAAAAAATGCCAATTCTATTCTTTTTATTGACTTGAAATCTCCACATTACCTTTTACCTCTCACAAGAGTCCAGATACCATGCAGGTCATATTGCCACAAAGTAAATGTTTTACTTTTATTTCTTTGAACCTGGACAAAATGTTAAAAAAAAAAATCCTTCAGCGTCAAAATATCAATTTTTTTAGTACTTTGTGATGGGCAGTGACAGTAGTTCAAGCACTCCCTCTGCTCCTCTCTAAGTAAACTGTGAAGAAACACTGCAGCTCAGGAATAACAGGAGAAACATGAAAATCAAATGCCTTTTTCAACATTAAATGGAATTATAAATAAAAGGAGACACAGGTATCAAAACCCCCTCAACTAAACAACCAAACCCCACAAATCCAAAAAAATACACCCTAGACAAAATTTGCCCTGAAAATCCTGATAAGCAACATTTCTACTGCAAATAATTCTAAATTATTCTACAGTATAGACCAAACAAACAGCTAGAATTATTGATCTTTCTCCTTCAATGCATGGTGACCCCTGGAATGCTCATCCTGTTAAAAGAGGAATATGAGACAGCCCAGAAGGGAGAATGAAAGACTTTTGAACTTTAGGGTTAGTGTTATCCTCACAGCTCATTAAACACACTGAGAAAGGACTAAAGGTGGAATTAAAGCAAAATTTGTGCCTGGATTCAAATATGTGATGCCAAAAAGCTTATTGTTTTAATTATTTTGGCTTATTTTTTTAATCATACAGTTATTTATATATTCAATAAACCCGGCTTTGCCACATATCCTAAGGGACTTGACCCATAAATTATTCACAGGGTGCTGCCACACTTAACATCAGAAATTATTTATTTTAACATCACCTGATGGAACACCTGGAGCCACAGCAGTGGCCACAGCACTCACCCTTTGAGAAGAAATTCCCCCCAACCAGGTAAAACCTCCAGCAAGCCAATAAAAGTGTTTTGGGGAATGGCACAGCAACAACATGCAAAATATTCAGCTTTTGTAAGACAGAAAGTGGCTAAAGAATCCTATCACAAACCACAGCAGATTTCCTGGTCCAACAGTTGGAATTCTCAAAAATTCCCAATGGAGCTAATTGAGAAGATGGTTTTGGAAAATAAAAGGATTAACTGGGCACCTACAGAGGAGCAAAAGGAAAAATTCCAGGGGAAAGAGCTGAAGATGTGATGAAGAAATTCCCAGCACAATTTACTCCACACAGCAGAAATGGCCCAGTGGTGACATATGCTAAATATATGATTTTATATTTATTAACACAAATTTTTGCCTCTATAACCACAAAAATGCCCAGCTAAGAGCATATAATTCCTCTCCTGTGAAAAAAGCCACAATTCAGGGAAAATACAAAGCTGTTTAATTACTCAGAGATGTTGCATAGAAGAGTTCCAGCAGTCTGAATGCCTTTGCTGACTTTCTAAATTGTATTCTGTTGGATTTCTTTTCTGCTGAGCCCTAACACAAGTTCCTTTCAGCTGCAGAAACCAGTCTAAGAATAATTACAACATCCATAACAGTTTAACCACTATGTAATTGGCCATTCAAGCTTAGCCCAAAATTTAATTTCTCTCTGAGAACTGATAACGTTGGTAAATTTGCTTTTGGGAACCACTGTATTTTGTGTTAACATTTAGCATCAGGAAATGAATATTCCTTTTTTTTTTTTTTTTACTTTGCAATTTGTTTTCTGCACGAACACACCAAATAATAACAAGATTTGCAGTGTGTTCTTGGATTAGAGCACTCAGCAGGGATGCTTTGGTTTGGGTACGAGCAATCATTACAATCTCAATTTCCTTCAAATCAGTGGTGCCCTTGTTGCTTAGAACATTTGCTGTTCAGCATTTATATCACTTATTTACATTTCAGATTTTATGCAGGCTTCAGGAGGAGGATTGTTGCATCAGTTTCTTCCAGATCTTTGTTCTCTGAAGCCTCTATGTACTTAATTAATTACATTGTACTGCAAACCCTACTTTTCTCTCCTTAACTTCCCTCTGATGACCTCAGCTTCCTCTGAAATAGATCCATGAAAACGAATCAGAGGCAAAGCATTTCCTTAATTAAGAAGGAGGGAATCTCAAATTTTAGGCTGTTGCTTGACAGAAACAACAACAAAAAAAAACCCTCTCCACTTTTCATTTCATTCTTCTCATTTTTCTGTTACACTTAATCCTCCTGCTCAACTGAAACAATGCTCAAGCTTCACCTTGGCATCACAGGATGGTTTGGGTTGGAAGTGACCTCATGATCATCCATTTCCAACCCCTGCCATGGGCTGGACACCTCTTCCACTGTCCCACGTTGCTCCAAGACTGGCCTTGGACACTGCCAGGGATCCAGGGGCAGCCACAGCTGCTCTGGGCACCCTGTGCCAGGGCCTGCCCACCCTCACAAGGAAGAATCTTTTCCTTCTATGCCATCTAAACCCAGCCTCCCTCTCAGTTTGAAGCCATTCCCCTTGTCCCGTCACTCCATGCTCTTATAATCCATTTCTTCCATTACTCTCAATCAAACTGCTGGGATTCAGCCTTACAATTTTTTTTTGTTTGCAGATGCAGGAACCAAGGTGAGGAGCACCTGGGAGCATAAAGCACCAGGGAAGCTGCAGCAGTGAACCAGAGAGCCCTGCAGGAGCTGGCTCATGCCAAAACAGAACAGCTGATTCCTGGAGGCTCAGCCCTCCTGAATATTACTGGAAGCACTGGAGAAGGGATTCAAATTCAACTTTTTATTTATAATTATGCACTCTAGTTATAAAACAGAGGCTTGAATAGGGAAGCATTCTAGAATTTTAGTTCTAATGCACTTGTTGTGAACCATTCAGCCTTTCCTGATCTTGCCTTTTAATTTCCTTTTTCCCCTTTCACATGGGATCTGAGATGTCTTTAGAACTGGGAATTCATTCTAAAGTGATCAGGTAAAAAGAACAATAACCAGCCAGTGGACAGCTATATTTTAAATATTTTACCCAATAACCCTTATATCCTTCACCAATAACCCTTTTATCCAATAATCCTTATAAACTCTAACTCTTGAAAGTAACCATCCTCTTACTACAATTTATATAGCAAAGGTATTTTGCCTTTACAAATTCTTATTACTGTTGCTAAAGTAAAGAATGTATTTTCAACAGCAAGTTCTCTCTCTGTTTAGGAATAATTCAATTAAATCTGATTTGGGCTGACAGGAATGTATTTTTGTTTTAAACAAGGTTTCTGCTGTCATGAGTTCTCCAGGATTACAATGCAGAATGATTTATGCAAATTCTCAAAATTTCTCTGCATGATGTATGCTTCCTTTTGCTACAGGTTCACAAATTGGATTTTCTATGTCAGATATTGAAAAGGGAAAACTGAAACAGGTCAGTGTTTTAAATGTGATTGATTTCTCCAAAGGAAATGGATGACATGATGCATTACTGCAATAAGATCCTCATATTTCTGTTATAAATCACAGGCTTCTGCCAGGCCTTTTTCAACTAGAAGTCTTGCAAAACTATCTTGAACTGCAAAGGGAACTTTCCATAAAAATTTCCCTTTTTTCCAATAATATGTTATTTTTCCGTCAATTTGCTTTGACAGATGCACTTCAGGCATGAATGTTACTCCACAAACAACGTTCAAGTTCAGAAGGTTTTATTGAAAAGTCACTCTCTTTTTTTCCTCCATGAGAAAAACTGTGCAGTTTGAAATGCCAGCCCATGGCTGGTAGCATTAAAATGTGCAATACATGACAGCCTGGTTTTGGATTATTGGGGAGATGTTCTCCAAAAAAACAATCCTCTCTTTCTCCCACCAAACCTCACATTCTTTTACTTTTTTTTAGCCTGCCAGTTAGGACTGGGAGCCTTTCTGTGCTACAAACAATCAATATGGAATATATCTAAACCCATTTTAGCTGTGTCCACCTAAAATATTTTGATTTTACATCAGACTGTTGTGAGTCACCTGCAAATGGACAATTCTGTGAAAAAGTGAGTTAAGAGCACCAAGGCCTCACTGCTGGTATCACCCACACAGATTTCCAGACCCACTGGTTATTGTGAACAGCATCACAACCCCACAATCCTGACATTATCTTCAGAGGACAAATCCTGGGTTTGTTTATTAAATCTTGCCCCCATGTAATTTATATTAATTAGGAAGTTCCTTTAACTTTTTGCACTTCTCACCTCAGAAGCTGGAACTGCAGGGAAGACAACTCCTTCCTTTGCATGAGCCTGAGCACAGCTTGCTGAGGGTCAGCAGAGAAGAGCCAACTTCTGTCATTTGAACAAGGAGCATCAACCAGTACCTAAACAATTAATAAAATCAAATTTAAAAAAATCTCAACAGAGATGGTCACTTTTTGAACACCATGTGCCAAAATACATTCAATCTTCTTTTGAAGATATTAAGAATTTTTTTTTTCCATTTTGTGGGTGAAATGATCCCATTATTATTTTTAGATGTTTTTATGGGGTTAGGAGGTGGAGAGATAAAAAATTAGTGCTCTGGAAATAAGACCTACCTGAGCAGCTCCCTCCTGTTCTCCTCCCCTTCCTAATTACACAGCATGCAAAGATTACAGCTACAAGGTCTTCAGAATTCACTCCCAAGGATGAATATCATCATCCAACACAGGAATAAATGCACAACAAGCTTCATAAAATGTTTCCTGAGGCTCTACAAATCCTGTACATGACTTTATTCCCCTTGATAGGTATTTTTGTGGGGGGCCAGGAAAAAAAAAAAAGAAAATTAAAAAGAAAACAGCATAGGAAAAGAATCAGAATGCAGAAATGTAACTTGCCAATAATAATGTTACCTTGTCATAAAATTCAGGCTGAAGATCTCCAATCTGTCTACCATCCAGTTTAGAGAACCTTAGCAAGTTAATCCAAGGATCTGGGATAAAGGATTCTATTGTCTGCTCCAACCATCTTGACCTCAAATCATCATATTCATTACAGTGAAAATGACCTTAGAAAATGAAGGAAAACAAACCAAAAGAAGTAAACATCCAAAGAGAAGTTCTTTATAATTTCTTTTCTGTCTTGTTTAGACAAATATAAGTAGTTAGACCCATTTTGGAAGTTCTATTGCATTGCCATGACTACCATGGAGTTCACACCTTATGTGCCTGTATTATTGCACTTTTCAGAATACTACTGAATTTTTATAAACCTAAATAAATTTTAACACGCTCCTACAGAGTAAACCCTAAATATTTACTAGCAAATCCCTCTGTAGCAATAGACTTCCACAGTAAAACAAACTTTAATCATGACCCATATCCAAAGAGCAAGTGCCTTCCTGGGATCTTTGAGCCACCATCTAACTAAAGTGCATGCCCCACATTATTAAATTGCTTTTTAAATAAATAAAGCATCATTTTTGTGTATCTTAAGGTACATCTTAGCATTCACTGAGGTATATTAAAAATCAAATTCTTCACATCTTCCGTTCTTAGCAACAGTTTGGTCTCTTCAGAAGCAGACAGAGTAAAGTGTTGGGGGATTTTTTCCCAACACCTTCTGAAAGGATAATTCCTATTTAATTTACTTCATTAGCATCACCTCATTCCTCTAGAAGAGAGAGGAAAACTAGTTGTAATCAGTTGGTCACAGTAATGGTCTCATCAGCAGGAGCATAAGGTGCTGTGAACAGTTTGAAACAATTATTACCCAAGCCAGCAAATAAACTTGGAAACAGCAATCCCAGCTTGTTTGAACTCCTTGGCCCAAGCTGCTGCCTTCTAAACACTCTGATCATCTCAGAATCCTTCTCCAACCAATTCCTTACCATAAACCTTCTCTCTGATCTTGCACATTTCATTTCTTATGCTGTGCTTTACATCAGCACACTTAAATTTACCTGTAATATTTGCACAGCACTGACAAAAGAGGCAGCAGAAAAAAAATTTTAAAAAAAGTGAAAAAGGACAAGTATTCTAAGATTGCAGATTACTTACAGCCCTATGCCAACAAACTGACAAGGCTTTAAGTAACTTCTGAACAGTGGAGAAAAGATCCACAGAGGTACCCTATTTTTGCCTTTCACTCTGCAGTAACCTATGTAAAAGTAACGACTGCATTTTTAATCCTCTTTTAAGCAAACAGATTTCACAAAATCCTTATTAAACATGCAACTAGGTGGAATACAAACAATTTTGGTTTTTTTTTTTTTCCTCCACCAGCACCTGGCTCCCCCCATTACCTGGACAGGCACACTGCAGGATAGCTACAGCTTTGCCCCCCGGTGCAGCACAGAGATCCAGAACATCCTCTCCATCCTCCACCTCCAGGGCCAGCACGGGCAGCAGCGAGGCAGCATTGAGCAGGTAATAATCCTTCAGCCTGCCAGGCTGGTGTTTCTGTGCAGGGAATCTGGCAGGAGCCGTGCTGGTGTAGCACCTGAAGGCTGCAGGGAGGTAGGGCAGAGGTGCTGGGAAGGCAGGCTGGTATCCCTGCTCAGCCAGGCTGCTCTCCAGGCCAGGGCTCTGGCTGAACCTGTTCAGCAGCAGGGCGTGCTGCCAGCACCACGGAGAGGTCAGCACATCTCTAGGGTGGAAAAAGGAAAAGCCATTCCATAACCCATCTAATAAAACACTGGAGGAAGCCTTCACTTACAATCTCACCGTTTGGTAGTTCTGGTGTAATCAGAAATTAATCATTTTGGTTAGAAAAGTACACACGAAAATTATTTTAAAGGAAACCAAGCCACTGCTTTTTCTAATTATTGCATTTAAAACACCATTTTTTTCTGAACCAAGACGTTCTCCATCTTTCTTAATTCATATAGAAGATATAAACGATCAAACATAATGCTCTTCCTGACTATAAAGAACTTCCCTAGTGACAAAAGTAGCTGTAAACAACAAAAATAATCACACATGGGCTTTACAATGCTCATTTCAGCCAACACTAAAATGCCGTTTTTACAAGTGCTTTTTTCACATTTTATGTCCTGCAAACACTGGGTGGATAAGATTTAAATCAATAGGTATTTTGGAAGGCAGACAGCAGTGGTATGTGATAGAAACATGCTTGTTTGTATTTCAGTTTGCTCTTTCAGGCCTTTCTTACATGGATTTCCCCCCATTTCTGTTTGAATTTCTATTAGTAATTTTTCATTTAATCTCAAAAAAAAAAATTCCTCAGGAGTATTCACGGCCTAAAGCAGAAAAACACATTGATCAAATCAGAGCGTTTCTCAGTTGTCTCAATTAAACTAATGCTATACATCTATGCTTTTTTGCTTTTTTAATAACGAAGTTCTTTAGCAGCTGTGTGATCAAGACCTAAATTAAGTGTCAGCCTTTGCCATACGTGTCATTATTAATTCAATTTCTATCTCTGCCCTTCCTTCCATCTCCCCAAAGCCACAGACCTGACAGTGCTCCACGCATCCCCCAGCTCTGCCGTGTACTGCTGCTCGAAGTGCTCCAGAACCACCTGGCAGATTCGCTTCTGCAGCTTCCCTTGCGTCTTCTTTTCCACCTTCGGGGAAAGGAAGAAAAAAGAAAAGTAGTAAAGCCAAAGTAAACCCTCTAGTTCTCACTAGAATGAACAACAAACATTTTAACCGATTGCATCAACTTGGTATCAGTGATATTAGAAAGCTCAAGTATCAAGAGCACATCTTTATGCGATCAATATGTAATAAACATTTCAGAAAGCGAGGGAATTAAGGTACAGCACGCTCTGCCCTGCTCAGCGGTTAATAAACCCTTCCATATCCACTGTGCTGATAACCCAGCGGTTCCCGGGACTCGGATGGAGTTTAAAGTGGGAAAGGAAAGGAAAGCCCAGGGGTAAAGGGTCAATTTCCCTCCTTTAGGACACGCAGCAGCCGCCCGGTCCCAGCGCGCTCGCTCCGCAGGCGGCGCAGGAACGGCGGGGACGGGCTGGGAAACAATGGGGCCGGCAATGGGGACGGCAATGGGGCCGGAGCAGCTGCCCGCAGGAGCTGCACAGCCCCAGGGGACACTCGGCGCTCTGGAGGAGGGACACGGGCAGCACGAACGGGACGGGGGGGCTCGCACGGCCCGCGCAGGAAGCGGCCGGGCCTCCGAACGCGCTTCCGGCCCCGGCTCCAGCCTCAGCCCCCGGCTCCAGCCACAACAGCCCCGCTCCCAGCCCCAGCCCCAGCCCCAGCCCCGGCTCACCTGCCCCGGGTCCCGCCCGGCCCGGCCCAGCCCCAAGGCGGCCCCAGCGCGGCGGGCGAGCGGCAGCGCCGGGCCCCGCATGGCCCGAGCTGCCCGGGGCGGAGCGGCCCGGCCCGGCCCCCGCTCTCGGCTCCCGCCCTGCACGGCTGGGAATCGGAGTTGTCGCAGCACCACGGAACGCTAAGGGGTGGGAACGGACCTTAAAGATGCGCTGGTCCCAACCCCCTGGGCCAGGGGTGGGGACACAAGCTCCCAGAGGATGCTCAAGCTCCCAGAGGATGCTCAAGCCCCCATCGTGCCGGCTTTGGACACCGCCACGGTTCAGACATCCCACAACTTCCCTGGGCACCTTGTTCCCGTGTCCCACTACCTTCACAGCATAAAAAAAACCAAACCAAAACAAACATCCAAAAGAAAAACAAACCAACCAACCAAACAAACAAACAAAAAAAACTCCAAAACTTCCTAATTTTCAGATTTTCCCCCCTACCATGAGAGGCTGACTTGCCATCCCGAATCCTCTGCCTCACCAGTAGACAAACCAGGATTAGACAGCACCTGGGCTCTCAGTGAATCAATCAATAGATATTTTGGAAGACAGGCAGCAGTGTGTCAATTTACAGAAGTGATCCTTATCCCAGCACCTGCTGGAGGGTCTGATGGCATCCACACCATCATGTCCCTGCCTGTGCCTTGTCACCAGACCTTTATTCCTCTCTGGGCCAGGTTTGGGAAGTGCTACTCAGCTCATCTGAACCACACTGGACATCAGCTCCAGTTTAACCCGCTGCTACTGCCATGAAAAGCTGCTGGAGGCTTGAGAATAATTCACAGAAATCCCTCACACACACTTTCAGATAAACATTTTCTGGGGACAGGAATCAGAAGAGCACTGTACCCCAGTTCAGCTGTCACTGGTTTAGCAGCACTAAAATCTGAGGCTGCTTCCATCTGATCCCTTCATCTGGACAGAACCTGAGATCTGCAAGCTGCTCCTCCAAGGAAGGCCACGCTGCTCTCTTGGCCATCTCCTGCTGCCATCACTGTGTCCTAGAAAAACAAAACAAATCCCCACACACCCTCCCTTTCGTGCCCATTTGCCAACTCTCGCTAAGAGCAAGCCCTGTGGAAGCAGCAAACTTGTTAAGGAGTAGTTTTAATTAAAGTTTCTGTAGGCTCTGAAAAATCCAGAACCCAGCTTCTGAAATCCAGACTGGAAAGGGGTGCAAAGGTAAAGGCAGGAGTGCTATCATATGGATAAATATTTGAGTTTCAGGCACCAGCTAATGAAGACTAAGCGTTTTTGCTCACCTCATACAGATTAGCACCAGGCTTGAAAGCTTATTTAAAATGCTTCTATCAGGGTTGTGAGCAAGGGCCTGGAGGCAAAAGAGAGACCTTAAATATCAAATGTGAAGGAAACATGAAAGGTTATTTGATAAGTGAGCTTTACCGACAGATACAGAACAAAACTGGTTTAAAAAGTTCTCTGTGGTTGTAACTCTGCTAAGGCCAGTACCATATCAGAAAATATACACAAGAATTTAATTTTATTGTACCCATACAACAAAAAGATCTGCTGAATGAGTCACCTTGCCCTAAACTGATGGCTATATTCCACTGTATGACAGATGGTGCCATTGGTTACTGTGTCTGAAAGCAGATTTGCACCAAAGCAAAGCAAAGCAAGGACTCCAGTTCATCAGCACCATCCCAGCCAAACTGCAAACAGCAAAAATGCATCTTCTATCTCTCATGTGCTACTGCAGATAAACTTATCTCAAATTACATTTACAACAGGCTCCCTTTACTTATTCCACTTACAAATGCATGTATTGAAATGCTGGTGGGTCTGTTCTATTCAAAAGACTAAAGTATTTCAAATTGAATGAATCCCAGGAGAAAAGAAGCTAACATGATGGCAAAGTTATTGGGTAGCATCCTGAAATTACAGTACTAGACTTTCCACTAAAACACTGGAATATATTACTGAAAAAAAATACTGCTTGAATCCTATTTAAAAGGGAAAAAAACCTATGTTGTTTACTTTGTTATGGTCCATCAGTCCTTTCCAATCTCACACCAGAGACCTAATGGATACCAAATATGTCTATTTTTAATAATTTTGATTTTAAAAACCTTTAAATCTATGAGTAAGGTATTTCTGTGGATGTAACTAAAAGGTAAGACAACCTGAACAACTTATTTTGAAGCACTGCATCTATCACATTAATTCAGTTCATGAACATTATTATTCCCTCTTAGAAGATACTTTTAACTTACCTTTAAAATATTTTGTCTGAAATACGTAAGACATAACACATAGATAATGCAAAATGTTCTGCTTAAATAGTGAATTTCTGTGTTTTTACCACTCCTGTATTTAAATACAAATACTCTTAGCTGCAGGCACTGATACATTTCCAAAGTGATGCTATAGATGACAAAAAGTCTGACAAAATGTAATTTGTGCTCTGAATTTACAGCTGCACAACTTTTATCTCTCAAATATTAAGTGCACTATCAAATCTCTTTATAGATATGCATATACATCCAACCTAGTGCCAATCTATCAGTATATTCTAAATTTGATCACATTTCTCCTGCAAAAACACAGAAAGATTCTGTCTACGTGGTCTCTATTTCATACATTTTAGAAATGTATGTGAGACTTGCAGCCCTTAAATATTTATGTCTAGACTTACTTCCAAGAAATTGTCAATTTATGGCAATACAGGAAACATGTTGATGCTTTGCATTAGTTTTATTCTATACATAAATGTCATCTTGAGCAAATAAAAAGTCATAGCAGTATAAATTACTGAAAAAACCCCACCATAGGAAATAATTACAAAGCATATTAATAAAACAAAAACTTATAAAACATTTTTGAGTACTTTGGTCACATACTGATAAAATTTATTTTAAAAGCAAAAATCAAAAATGATACATGTGTCCACACACACAACACACAGTTCATATATAAGCATCAACATTTTAGTTTCTCAAATTGTTACCACAGCAGTATTTAGCTTTATTTTTAGTAAAGACTTCCATAACTCTATTTTTTTGAAAGAGGGAAAACAAAAGGGTAATACATTTCTAGAAATTGAAGCTGTAAAAAAGTAAGTCTGCAAAAGGAGAGATTTTAAGCCAAAAACTTAAGTGGTAACAGAGCTAATGTAAGTAAAGTTGAGATTGCACATAGAAATTTTTTTGTGCAATCTCCCCTCCACTTAGTATTGTGTTGTCTGAAGGGAAAATGACCAAATCCTGAGAATAATTCAACTGAATCGTGTTAAGTATTAGAATACAACAAAAGTATTCTTATGCTGGTAATCACATAGAAATTGTTTCCTCCTTTCTCTAAACGAGCAAACACAGAGGAGTAAACCTCTCCACCTATTCCAAACTTGGTATCCTTAAGACTGATTCCACCTTACTTTTTCTAAAAATCTTAATAATTTTCTTTTAATATGGCAGATGTTTGTGCAACTCCTGCTGCAAGGGGTGTATGGCAAAGATTTCCAAGACCAAAGTGCTGAACACTTAACACACCACATTGTTTCGACATGTAAATTCCTTTGGTAAAACCACGTTATTGACGACAGAGCACGACATGAAACGATCAAACACTGCTTCTCCAAAAAACCCCTGAATGGGGGGCTTCATCCTGTCTGTCATTAAGTGGCAGAACAATGAACATTTACAAATGCACCACTGGTTGTCTCCAATGTAACAGTAAAAACATTTAAACAGGAATATAACAAACTGTAACCCTTGCTGTTTAGGTATCATTTGTATGTGATTTTCAACACATCATATCAAAGTTTTATAGAAGCCCTTAAAAACCCAGTGCTTCTTTAGTTTGCAAGATGGTATTGTAGTATTATTGAGATTAAAAACTGTGGGAGGTCATCTCCATACTGGTTGATTCAATTTCCCATCAAAATTGATGATTTAATTAGTGCAAATTTCCCACCATGTGCAATTTTCTCGTTTGTTGTAGTAGACAATACAGTATTCAACTCTATTTTTTTCCACATAATTTATTACCTATGTCAAACTCAGTTAACAAAACAAAGAAAACAACGGATAAGAAAACTTCCAGACAGTTCAAATAGCATTATTTTGTATAAAATGTATTTAATTTTTTTTTATCTTACCCTCTGCTTCAGATTGCCAGAAATATGAAATATGTAATGCAATACCTAAGAAAAGGTATTGGTACTGTAAGAGAAATGTAAGAGTCAAACATACTTTATTTTTATGCACTTGACTATCAGCTTTCTAATGCTCCCTAGGTATCATTTTATTGGTAGTAGGTACACAGCTCCACTCAAACTTTCAACTCATTTTATAAAAAGGTAGAAAAATATATTCAATATTTGTTTAACCTTTCTATATTCACCCTATCATACAGGAATCTTACAAAATGCTTTAGAATCATTTATTCCCTGAAAAAATACCAACACCTGCACAGCACCTGGAGAAAGGTCTCGGTGGGAATGTACAATCCAGTATTATGGGATCTTGAAGGTGTTTTTCTTCAGGTTTACAGCCATGTCTTTTCACAAGGAAACCAAATAAATCCTGAAGAAGAGCTGGTGATGTGAAAAGTAAATTATAAAGTCTGACCACCTAAGTACAACAGGATGAACTCCATGGTTAGTTGTCATATGCTGAGAAAATGTCATTTATAAAATTTTCCTTCAAGGGTAAAAAAAAAAAAATAGTATTTTTAAATTATGTTTTTGAAAATTCTCTTTGTCCAGTTAAGCAATGACATCATGGGTATCACTGTTGGGTCTTTGGCGTAGAGTCAGCGGGGGCAGAGGCTTTCCATAGAAATCTGTGGAAGAAATTCCAGAGCAGAAAAACACATCAGTCTGTCCCCCACCACCTTCCTGGCTCAAAGAATCTCTACTAAATTCTTGCTTCCTTAATGAGAGCCAGGTATTCTATGAGTTAACTCCTCCAAGCAAACTTTCAAACCTAGTGTTAATTAATGTCTAGAGATGGATGGGCCAAACGAGAGTTTAATTACATTTTGTTATACATGCATCAGTATTTGCATGATCAAGCCCAAAGGGGATCTGTAAACATACCTAAAAATAGGAAAGGAGAAATCCAAAGTGTACAAATAACAGCTGAAAAAATGAAGCACTGAAATGTGTAGTCAAGGCTGCACTGCAATATAGTTTTAAATGGCAGTAATACTGTGCAGAATCCAAAGATTTGGGACCATTTATGCCTGGCATTTATCTTGCAAGCTAAAATAACTTTCTAAAATAACTATTTCGGAATTTTTAGATACAACTGCAACATTTCCTTCCGTCAATGAAAGAATTTAAAGTGATACAATCGTACAAGACAAAGTTAATAAGTACATCAGAAGAGAGTAACAAGTGTTCTCACACATTTGTAATGGATATAAAATAAAAAACCCATGCAGACTGGAACATGCAGAACACTTCACAAGCAAAATAACATGGAAGATGGTAAGAGGAA